GGGCTACAAAGATCAGATATAGGAAATCTTGTCTTTCTGTGATTGTACTGAACCAGACCCAGCCATCTTTTCAAGGCAAATTGAACTCCCCAGGATGTGCCATCTCTGACATTCAGCTCCGCAGATGTTCTCATCTGTAGAGTCCTCCTGTACTGAAAGGACACTGTAATGCATTGGTCTCAGAAACAAACTCCCTGTGTCTTCTCGGGGAAAAGCCACTCTAACAGTAATTGACCTTGACCCTTGTATCGTCCCGCCAAGAGAATATTAGAAACTTGGTAAACTTTATTTCCTGTCAAACTGATTTCTCTTTGCATCCACTATTTTCCTTTTGTGGTGGTTCTGTTTAGTGCAAGTTACAGAGACATGATAAATTACTTTACTGAGCACTTCTGGCTGCATCAGCTGCCTGCCACTCTGTTCCTCCTGGAAATCTTTACTGACATCCCAAACTGCAAACCCATTCAAAGAGCCACTGTGTAAAGAAATAACAATCACCAGAATGTAACTCTTCCTGCCCCCTGAGTGGGTAGTGTTCAGGTCCTCAGGCTCCTCCAGTTCACCCTGCCAAGGTTCACGGAGAGGCAAGTCCAGGCTGAGGGCTGGAAGGGGGACACTGCCAGGAAGTACAGGACATTTCCCATTTCCAGCGCTCATTTTCTGTCATGTGAAAGTACTGAGATATCTGAAATTGCAAGTACCATTTTAGATTACGTTATTTTTAGACATTTTTATATCTTAGCTGTATGAAGGCTGATATAAATGAACCATGGCTCTTTTAGTTTAGCAGATTTTGATTCCCTAAATGAATACAAGAATTTTTATTCAGTGTTTGATATTCAGAAAACCTGAGCGTACAGCAAGTAACCCAGAAACAGTCTTGTGCTTATAAAAGTTTTGCGTCATGCTGTCATATTTTAGCTGCTTTTCTAACCCTGACTTTCTGATCCATCTGTTATGAGTGAAAAGGTTTGGAACCGAGTTAAATTGACTCTTGCTGGTAAAAGATAATTCATACTGTTAACAGCAATCAGCTAGAACAAAAAGTACAGAAGCGTGGAACATTACATTAGGAATCCCAAAGTGATGCTGATAATTCAATAAAAAAAAATAAAATACAATAACCACAAAACTCAGCATGATATATTCTTACTACCTTCTTATCTCTTTTACAAGAAACCACTGAATCTCTGAAATAGCTTGTTTTCTTCTATCAGAATCCATCGTGGAGAAAAAGGCTGGTAGAACTTGTTAATTCTGACTTCAGGATATCTAGGATTTCACTGTGTGAGTGACCAACAGAAAAGTTTCCCTCCTGATTAATTTATTTTAGGGGTTTTTTTCCCCTTCATTGATATGTTAATGCTTTGCTTTTACTCCAATACATTCTTATCTTTTTTAAGGAAGCAAAAAGCCAATCCATCCTCTCCACCCAGATAATTTTCACATCTTCTGCACCAGTTCTATTGATTTTTCTACATTCTGTTGAAGTGGTCCAGTATTACATACTGCAGTATCTATGTAAAGACATTCGTTTCTCTGTGATGTTGAAAAGCCTTGGTTATTTGTTTTTAATTTAAAAATGGTTGTTCAGTGTAATCAAGTCTGAGAAGTCACCTTTCCTCTTTATTTTTACTTTATAATGCAGAATAGCAGACACATGTATAGATGTAAGTTAAAAGAAAAAACTGTAGAAGTAGCTTGCTGTTGCCCTCATAGGCAAGCGCCTTCCATTTGGGATGGAAGAGCTTTCATATGTCCTGCACTCTACCTTTTATTGACTGGCAGAGAAGCCACTGCACAGGAGACTTGCTTGATGTTCCTATAACTTTCACTAGCCTTTGTGGTGCTAGTCAAATCAGTTCATCTCCCCGTGCCTCAGTTTCCCCAATCCCAAACAGGGCAATATTTTAATGATAAAGTGATATGAACTCTGCCTGTGGAGGTTACGTACAATTATCAGCTCATGGTCTGTAGCATTCCCCTTACACATGCACACTGCAAATGCTGAAGCAGAATAGCACCTTATCTTTCATAAGCAACCTGGCAATAGCTCAGTGCATGCAGAAAGTAGTGATTACAGCATAAATCTAAATCAACATCTTTTAGCCAATGATAGACTGAAGAATGCCACAAAAGGGAGAGACCGCAGAATTACAAAAAACAGCATAAAACACTCTTAGTGCTGTATTGGTTTGACATCTCAGAGGTGTTGAACTTAATCTTTTGAAGAAGCTGAATCTTGTTTACCTGATCCTAGCTGTTCTGCAGTTATATGCATTATTTTCAAATATGATTATTCAAAAATAATTTGTGTTTGGCGAAACATTGCCAGGCCCTCTTAAAACAGAAATTCAAATCTCCTGTCTAGATGTGGATTTCAAAAGGCCTAACTAGTTTGGCTAATGAGAAACACTGTGATATCAAAACTCCTTCCCTCCCTACCTGCTGAGAGGGAAAGAGTTAAGTGTCATGCCAGTAAAGGAATCTGAATCATTCTTCCGCAGCTGTTTCTGACTTGCAGATATGGTAGGGCTTTTTGCTCTTACTGTTGTGGATGATTTGCTCCTGCACTGTCAAGGTCTTTTTGCTATTTGAGAAGAAAAGTTTATCACCAGTACTCTGTCTCTCTGAGATTTTGCTCTGGCTGCCATGACTGTAAGTTGAGCCTTTCAGAATTTTTAATATATTTAGCCTCACAAATCCTCTCTGAACTAGCAAAAATGAGAGAATTAAGGCTCAGAAAGGAGGAAGTGTCTTGCTTGAGGTCATCTGGGCTGCTTGTGGCAGGGAATCTTTCACAGAGGGTAGGACTAAAATCATTAACCTATTCTCACTTCCCCCAAGTACAGGAAACAATGCAATCATTCTCAAAATGCTCTTTTCTTTTTTTTTTTTTTTTGGATGGGAGAAGGAAGTGGAGATTTTTTTTTTTTATGCCCACTCAATAGTTCCACATCAGTCTATCCTGCTGTGGAAAGCTGCTTTGTGATGTTAAATGACATTCACATTATTCTTCCCAGTATCTTTCTTGTCTGCAGGGTATAACAAGCAGTGAAGCTCAAGGGAATCGCATCAATTTTTACTCTGAGCCTGGCTGACAAAGATATGAACACTTAATTAAGATTTCTTTCATCTCATGAAAATAGCCCTGAAGATCTGAGCCTGACATGAGAGCTGCCAGTGATATTAGTGAAGGCAAAGTGTCCAACTGCAAGATCTTAGTTGGAGCACTTGCCCTCACAAACCATTTGAATTGAGAATGGAATCTAGGTGTTTCCAAGCCGATGCCCTAACTCAAGCCAGAGGCTCCTGCTTTCTCTTCACTCTAGTCCTGTGAATGCCTCTTTCACATAGGGCAGACCAACAGGAGGGAGAGCCTCTCTCAACTCCGCAGGAACAATGTAATCAATTCAGGCAGAAACAGTTGGCTTAGGCTTCCCAACGTGCCATCTGTGAGAAAACTGATTTTTTAAATGACTGATTACAACAAAATGCACATTCCTTTTCTATTTATTTACATGCATGCATGTATATTGATTAAAATTAGTCCATTTTTGCTACATTAAATCAGAGTGTTGATAATTAAGCATCTGTGCACAGGGCTGAGAACATTAAGAGCACTAAAGAAACAAACAATAGTTTATAATAGGATCATTAGAGCAGTCTTAGCAGCACTCACAACATGTTTATTCAAAAATGAAATATGCCCTAAGGAAGTAAAATACCAATTACGGAACACAGGGGATTTAAAATAAAAAGGTCAGTTTTAAAGCCTTTAAGTAAATAATTTCAAACAACTCAATGGCAGCTCACATTTCAAAATAGACTAAGTAGCTAAACGATAAAAATGTGTTAATTGTAGGGTCTGGAATATATCAAAAGGGCAAGTACAGTTATCCTCATTACCTTCTCATTGTTCAGAGTGAAAAAAACTCGGTATCAATACTGACATATGACATACATCTTGGGTATATATGCACAGCAAACATTTATGGTTCTATGAGTGTCTCAAATTGGTTGTACATGGCCAAGAAGTAAATACTTGCAGCTGCACCAGGGTTAAAATAAACTGTGTGCAGATCTGTATCAACAGCTCAAGTCTGCAAAAACTACCAGCTGCTTGGGTCAAAGGTAGTTTATAGGTCCTGGTCCGTATGGGAACAGGAGACTTTGCAATGAAGTGGTGAAGCAACCTCTTATCACATACACAGGCAGCACTTTGATTTATACCCATTATTTCTAATTAACACACATAGCTGGCAGCACCTGCAACTTTCAGTGGGCCTAATTAAGTATTATTACTCTCAAACAGGGACTTTGACACACAAAAAAGCAAAGTATTTCCGTGGAGTGAAATTCACCTCTTCTGTTTACCTTCTTATCACGTATCCTCTTAGCGTGTAACACACAATATTAAGAATTTAATCCAAGGAATTAATGTAAAAGAATATCAAAAGCGTTCAAGCGAATTAAACCCTCTACAATACTGGCTGAATCTCAGTAAAAGCTGTGGAATGGTTTTAGTATCTCAAAGCAGGCCACTTCGGATTCAACTAAGGAGACACCTACTCCATTTTTATTTGGAGGAAAAGGTTGCCGCTGGACAACACAGTTTTTCCCGTAGGGTTTTGGCCGCCTGCTCAGAGGCCACTTCACCCTGGTCAACCTGTGCCTACATCGCGCGGGGAGGCACCGCGAGCTGCGCTCCAGGACAGCGGGCGCCTGCCCGCCGGGGCCCGCCATGCCGAACGGCTCCGGCGACAGCGAGGACCTCGGGCCCAACATGGCGGACAACGGGGGCACGAGCCCTCACCTCAGGTGAGCCCCGCCCCGCCGCGGCAGGTGAGCCACCGGGCGTTGCACCCAGCGGTGCTACGATTGGCCCGCGGGACCGCCAATCGCCTGTTGCCGCGGCAACGCGTACGCCCTCCCGCAGGCACACCCCCGTGCTCCCCCCGTCGACGGCTGATTGGCTAGAGCCGCGGTGACGTGAGCGCGGGGGTTTTACGGCCCTCAGCTGGAGGGGAAGCAGCTGGAGAGGGCGAGCGGCGGGGCTGGAGGCGGGAGGTTGGCGTCGCTGCTGCTGCCGCCATGACGTTCAAGCGGAGCCGGGATCGTTTCTACAGCACCCGTTGCTGCGGCTGCTGCCATGTGCGGACCGGCACCATTATCCTGGGCACCTGGTACATGGTGAGAGACTGGCGCGGGGGGCGGCCGGCGCCGCTGAGGGGGCGGTGATTTGGGCTGTGCGCAGAGCGCATGCGTGGGGGTAGGGGGGGTGGGTTCCGCCGTTGCCTAGCGTGGGCGCGGAGTGGGCAGCGCGCATGCGCGGCGGGTGGGCGCGGGCGGGGGCGCTGAGGGGGCGGAGGGGCTCCCTCTCCCCTCGTTAATGAGGCGGCTCCCCGGTGGGAGGTAGCTGTTGCTCCCCCAATTTCGCTGCTGTCCCCTGCGCTGCGCCCTGCGGGGTGACCTGCACGAGTTCCCTGGGGTCACCCGGCGTGGTTCAGGCCCCTTTTCCTTCCCGGGGTCTGTTTCGGGCTTGCCAAGCCTTGTTGTCCTTTGGCGGCCTCCCTTGTTCTTCTGAAATGAAGCGAATGCTCAGGGCATTTTAATCTGTGTCTCTGAGGAGTTGTGATACTATTCGCTTCCTGGTATTGAAGGGATAGAGACTTTTATATATTTCAAACAGTATTGTGCCCTTGGTAAGAGAGGAGATGCTAACATCTGGGGAGACTGGAATTTGGGGTATGTTGAGAATAAGATGGTAAGATGTGGTTCCCCTGAGTAGTGTGTAACCTCAGAGAGGAAGATGAGGGGCTCCAAAATGAGCATGGCTTCTGCTAGTTAAAGAGCTTTGTGAGAAGGGAAGTTTGTGGTTATTCGGTACTCTGTGTTCTCAGCATAGTGGTTGAGGAGCAACACAAACAGATTTGGCTTCCAAAACACCTCTTGTGTTCTGGTGGGTGAGTGCTTTGTCTCTGAGAGCTGTGGTGGTGAAGCTGAAATATTAGTGATAGTTTTGAACTAGAGTGAAATAGAAATGAGAAAACAGTACTAGCAAGTTACGGCCTGGAGCCTTAACTTCCCTTAGTTCCTTAAAGGACTGAGTTCCCCTTTACTGAAGTAATTTCCTCATCTTTCCTTCCCCTTACTCTTACGGGCAGTAACAATGTAAGGATAGTTTTAAAAACGTTGCATCATAGCTTTTTTGTTCTCCTGAAGCTGTAACGAAAACCTGTGTTCACATTTACCCTTCTCCAGACTCTAAAAATAGAGACTGCTGAATTTTTATGCTTTGGTGTGAAGAAGCTGTGCACAGAAACTGCTTTCACAGTCGTGGGGATTTAAGTTTGAGAGTTTCATGGTTTATCTTCAGCAAGTATGGGGAGGTCCTTTGTTTTTTTAATCTCTGTCATTGACAAAAAAAAAATGTACAGGCAAACAATAAAATGGTAGGAAAAAGCAGGAGGGGGGGGTGAGAAGTGTAACAAAGCTCTAGGAAAGGGATAATTTTTTTCTTTTGTGAAAAGAAATTTGGAAAAAATGTCATGGTGTTGATTAAGTCCTACTGTTAGTTCATGTAAAATAGAAAAGTAAGGTCTATTGCAGTATTGAACATCGGACTTGTAAAACTTCCAGAAGTTTTAAGCTATGCTGATGGAAGGAGATCAAGAATATGCTTCTGGTACCTCAAGTGAAAGTATAAATTATTATGAGTAAGGAGATGCTCATCCTTGTTATGAAACAAATGCACCATCCTGCCGTCCCCAGTTTTGTTTCCTCTTCACAGGAGTATCTAGAATCCCAGGAACTTGGTGGCGACATGGGTCAGGGATGTGTTTTCTGGCCACATACTCAGTAGTACTTCCAGCTTCTGCTTGTATTGTGCATGTTTCATCTTTCTTGCCTGGATGAAGCACATCTTCCTAATTTCTGAATCGGTGCAACACTCTGTAGTGATTGTGGGTGGTGAAAAGTATGCGGGTCGCTGATAAGGCTGATGGCTTCAGAGGTGGAGTGGTGTCTGGGGCAAACTGTTCTTCAGATTTCCTGTAACTGCAATGGATTCAGGCTGCTAGAGGGAAAAATTTAGCTGAGTTCAGGGTAGCAGGGTGCGTGCAAAGTACTTCATAGCTGCATTTTTCTACAAACTTTATCAAACAGTTAAACTATGCACTGAAAACTTTTATCCAGTTATTCCTAGCCATCAGCTGGGAAAACGTGCTAACTCTCTAAAGTCTGACAACTGTTAGCTGTTTGAGCTGAAATAAGGTCTTACCATGAAGTCTTAAGTGGTCTTGCCTAATTCTTTAAATCGGAATTCAACTATAATTCATACCTACTGAAGGTAAAGTACAATTTGGTCAGTGAAAATTAAACCTACTTTTCTGCTGACAAATGTAACAAAAAAAAAAAAATGACCTAGGGTATGTCAGGTTGTTTAGATGTGTTAATTCACCATTTAAATATCTCACTAACTTCAGTCTCTCAGGCACTAGTTTGTGATAAGTATTTCTAAGCTAATTTAATAGTCTGTGTTTGTAAGTTACAGTGGGACAAATAGTAATAACTTTGTGTGGCATGGGTTTTTTTTGTGTTTCTTTTTGTGGGGGGAGGTGTTTTTTTTGTTTGTTTTTTTTGGTGGGAGAGAATGATTAGTTCAACAATAGCTTTGTGTTACTGAAAATCTTGGTCAGCCTGTATTTACTGGATAGTGTCCTTGTGCTGTGCAGTCCTGAAGGAATTTGATACCAAACATAAAATGGAGTCTCGTAGCAATCTACTCCAGATGTTTTTGTAAGATAAGAGTTTTGGCTATTTAATATATGTGCATTTTTCTTATGTAACCATCTCTTTAGGTATTTTCCGATTTCTTGCTTATTTGTATACTCTTATATCTTGCACCTAATTGACTTGCGTCCTCACTAAAACAGTTATATTGCTGCCTTTGTGTACTTCAGTGGGTCTAGAGAGAACATTATCTTCCAAAATGTCTGCTGTTGATGCTGTGTGATCAAGCTGCGTCTTTTAAGCATGTTTCAGTCTCTGTGCTGCTAATGTTTCTGATAAATAGATAAAACTGTATTTGCAAAAAGATGAGTTAAGAACATTTTTAGCAGAGTCATACTTGAGTTCTAGGACTAATATAGTTCGGTTTACTCTGCAACACCCACTACTGTTCTGTGTAGGAAGGAAAAAGAAATCTATTCCTAGTTCCATAATTGCTAACATGTGGCTTTGAAGTTTGTTTCTTCCTGTAAACTTTCTTATTAGGCACAGTGCTTTCCAGAAACAGGAAACATGAACACTCCACTGGCAAAAATCAGATCAGAGTTCAATAAACAGTCTACAAGTAATAGCATTGTTTTGGAGGGAGTGGCTGTTTTATACCGGCAGCAAACTTCAGAGATAGAGTGAAAATGCTGCAATTGCTACTGGTTAGCAGGAGGGTGAGGATGGTCTCTGGAGTTGTTCGTTCACTGAACAAGATTTCCAGAAATGAAGGAATGTAACTGGTCTCAATCTAATCTTGACCATGCTAGAAGCTCTTGAAGTACCCCATTTAAAATGATTCTTTTTGGTTTATAGTATTTGAATATAATAAAAAACAAAAAGCCCATCTTGGTTTGTTCCTTCGGGAACACGTTTAAGGAAGAATACTGGAAAAGTGAGAGGAAGATGAGAAAGTGTAGTAGTGCAAGGCAATTTCCCTCTTCTTTCCCACTCTTAAAAGGAAATAAGTAGGATTTCTTGTTCATGTCCAAGACTTTTAGTCACTCAGTGCTTGGGGAAACCTAGGCTTCATGTTCAGGCCTCCAGAGAGATGAAGCACTTGGATGATTAGGCATTAAATCTATACCATAGAGATAAAACTCACTAATTAAAAAGCTAATGCTTGTTATAGTTCCACAGTCTTTTGAGTTCTGATCATATGGGGAGTTTTGCTAAGTTAGTATTTTTATTCTGTCTCACTGGTCCTAATAGATTGGATTCGGAGTGACTCTTTATTTTTCTATTTTGCTTGCATACCGTTTCAGGTTGAGAAAATAAAGCTTGAATACTTTGAACTGTACTCAATAACTAGAGAAAATACTAAGGACTTTTGTTTGCTAAATTAGAACTGGATAGGATGAAAATTTAAAAAGTGACAGATCTAGGATCACAGTGTCAGAATTTCGAGGTATTCAAATTCTTCAGTACTTCTATATTAATTCAAATGTTGCTTGCTCTTTATCTTGAGGCAGATAGCCTATCATGGCAATTAAACTCAGTGCTGAGTAATACTATTTTTTGTTCTGAACTTTATCACTATTTAAGTTAAAATTATGACTGTATAAACAATAAATGATTTAGCTGTAATTGAACATGTCTCTTTGTTTTATGAAGTAGAAATCAATGTTTTGACTGCCAGATATCTGAACCTTGACATAGGCTTTTTAAAATGAGTATAGAGCAGGAAGTTATTTTCCAAAGTATAGGTTGATACCCCTACTTCACTCACAGAGAGGAGGGAACAGGTTTGAAAACACATTGAGAACAGAAAGCCAGAGTAGAGAAGAATGAAACAGGATTGATGAGAGAATATAGTATTCTATACATTTGAAAAATGGTGAAGCAAAATAAGATCTAGACAATTTGCAGATGAGCAACTTGACAGTTTGGCCTCTAGGAAGTGTCTTGTGAGGGGGAAAATATGGTCATTTTAAGGCTAAAGATATTGGTGGCTAAACTTAGTTCTTCAATGCCATCGGTACTAGTTACTATATTTTACATTCCAAGGAATAAAATCAAGAATACAAGCATCTGAAAGTAGCTGGAATTTCTAATAAGTTGATGACATGATAGTATTTCTACAAAGCAATCAGCTTTGATTTCAATGAAGAGTTCTTTTTAGCAGAAAGTGTGAGCAAGCTTATTCCTATGATATCTAAACTATAGGGGGAGGAAAAAACCCCAACAATCAAAACAACCCTCCCCCCCAAACCAACAAACAAACAAAACCAAAGCAAAAACCAGACCAAACCATTTCAAAAAAACCCAAACAAAAAAAGCTTGCAGGAACTGTGAGTCTTAAATGTTTAAAAGCATTTCTTGCCTTAATCAGAACTTCAGTAATTGTGCGTAGAAAGTAATTGTGCACTATTACTATCATTGACTCCTGGAACGAGGCCAGTAAAAGAAGAAATATCTGGCAAATATTAAGTTGTGAGAAGCTGCAAACCAGTTTGTTTGTTTTTTTCTTTTGAGACTAACTGTAAAAGATCCTGCTGGTGGTAGTGACCATACTGAATACCGATTGGAAAATGACTGCAGCTTGAAAATACCATCATGACTTTTTTTATTACGCAACCTTTTTTCTTTGGCATGTCTCTCAAGATATTAGTAACAGAAACTGTGCCCCTGGAAATTTCGAATAGGTTATAAATGCTGTGAAGGCAACTTTGCAGAGGCTTAAGCTACTTTTGACTCTGAGCTCTTAATGTTACTGAAAGTATTTCTGGTATGTACCAAAATGGGGAAACAGTAGTCTTCAGTGGCAGTGTAAGGAGAACGGGTAAGCACATAGCCAGTGCTGACAAATTTTGGGGTTCAATCTTTGTGTGAGATTTTTTTAACTTCCTCTGTGTTTGTGTAGCCTTTCTGGTAAGGACGGATGAGATTTTAACAAATGATCTAGGAATGGGAGGGAGACAGTTCTCCCTTGCTTGTAACTGTAACATGGGAGAAACCAGAAGCAAGCAATGTTTGAGGATTTGAGCTGTAGTGGAAGTTTTCCCTTGTACAGTCAGTGTTTACTGTGTGATGCTTACACATTCCCTTGTACAGCTTGCCCCCAAGCACTGTTTGAGAGTAGGGTGCAGTACCTTATTTGTGCATTAAATTAACTCTGCTTTTTTTTTTCCTCTCGTAGAAAGCAGTAACTTCCCAGATGTTCCTTGCTGTGTCTGTTGTTTTACCTTTTCCTTTCTGGCCTCTTTTAACTGTTTCCAGTTTTCCAGTTCACAAATCTGTGCATTCATCATGCAGCATCAGTTTAATTATGTCCTTTGAATCCCTACAAACTCTATCCATCCTCATAATTTGCAAAGTTATTTAGTTGTGATCCATTAAAACTAGCAAGTGTCCAGTGCTCTTCTAGTTGTTTCGGTAGTGGTTTTAACTAAATCGGCCCAAAATTTATTCATAAGTTGGGTTCTTTTATTTTTTTTTTTTTCTTCTGCATATAGTCAAAGAATTTATTTCTAACGGAACTAAAAGATTTATTACTGTGTGCTTAAAAAGATCATAGCTTTTGCAGTGTGAATAACCTTTAGGTAACTGTGATCTTTCTCAGGTGGTGAACTTGCTGATGGGCATCCTGTTGACAGTAGAAGTGACTCATCCAAATATAGTGCCAACTGTTGATATCCAGTATGAAGTCATTGGAAATTACTATGCTTCTGAGAGAATGGCTGGTAGGTGTATAACTCTAATGTCTAATTAGAAAATAAAGCATGCAGTATCATGGTGTATTTGCCTTATATTAGTGTATAATATATGCATACAGCTTTTAAATATGGTTTTATTGTTTTCTGAATTTCTCTTTAATCTGGGATTGAGGTGTTCTACAAGAACTAAAAAAAATTTTTTATGGAATATTATTTTTACTTTATATTAATCCTAAGCATCTTAAACAATAAGATTTCTAAAGATTGCTTGGCTGCCTAATGCTTTGGGTGTGGAACATCTCAGATTCACTTTCTGCATAAACATTTGCTATCCTTGCTGTGCCAGTAAAACAAAAAGCAGAAAACTGTTTTTAAAGACTTTTGGGAATTTTTGGTGATCCTCGTAGATTTAAGGAAAGAGCCGACATCTATTGTTTTGAGTTTATTAAGAGGAAGACCATGCCATCTTTCTAAAAAAAAAGTAGAAGAACTGGGATGCCAAGTACTGGAGTGAAACCAAAGTATTTATGTAAAAAGTTTGACATGCAGAAGAAACAGGAGAGAAAGCATCATCAGCAGAATTAAACCTACTTTCCACTCTGTTATAGATTAAGTCTATGATGTGTACAGGTGTAATTGATGTAAAACTTTTGTCTATATTGATTAAGCTTTTTAACTGTAGTAGGACATGTAAACTTGTGCACATGCTTTGTTTTACTTGTTAAATGTTTAGAAATGTTTAGTGTGGCACTTTTAATGTGTCTCAGTCTGTATTACGCTAAAATTCAGGGAGGTCTAGATCAGTCTGGAGCGAAGATAAATAACATAGCACAAATCTGGGTTTTGAGAGTTCTAGTTTACAGTCTGTGTTAATTGTTTATGACCTGAGTTGAGGATCTGTCAGTTCTGACCTGTGACTGTAACTCACGTTTGTTAGTAATTAAATTAGTGGCAACAAGGACCAAATACTTCATAAAGCCAAGATATTAAGTAAAATTACAGCAGATATCTGTAAAATGTCGTATGTTCTGTAACAAATGTTGGTGTACTTGCTAGCCTTACGCTTACGTGACTGGGAAATGCTTCTGAAGCTGAAGGTGCTTTCTACACTCTACTGTAAAATGGCTATCGTGATTTTTGACTTAAAGATTCTTGTTTCCCATGTTTGGGATATGGGATAGAGAGTTTTGTGTGCATGAAGGGATACTACAATTTTGATTGTGCATGTGGATCTTGTAAGTAACAAATTCTCAGAAGAAAACCACACTGGTTATTGCTGAGTACTTAGGGTGCTCTGATCAACACAATGCATTTCAAATATTGGAGGGGGCCTCCTTGATGCCATCTGTGTATATAGATACTATTATCTTGTACTAAATTGGGTAGGGTATGTAAGTGTTTCTACAGTGTATCTTTTTAAATCAGTTGCAGACTAGAAAGTTATCATTCTCAGATCATATCTTTCAAGCATGGGAACCACAGAAATTTGGCTTTAATATTGTGAAAAACGTGAGCTTACCACATCTATAGACTCTCAAGCTGATTTCTTTCTCTAAGTTTAAAAATGTAAACTGTGTTTGCTGTAGGAGTATAATCTAACTCCTGGAAAGCAGCTGTGCTTCAGTCATCAGTAACTGTGATGCACAAGGAGAATCTTTATCATTCTGTTTCCATGAGTGTCTTGGATTCTGCTACCATTTGGCTTCTGTTCAACTGTGCCTTTTCTTGTAAATAATGGGATACCTTCTACACAGTGATTTCCTGTTTTCCTTAGTGTTATTGAAGGAGCAGTACTGCTCTCACTGCCAGCGACTGAATTATATAATCAAACGACTTTAAAGTGTAAAGGTTGACACTGTGCTAGCTTCACTTACAATTCTTTCCAGTTGTAAAGTTAATCACTTACATACTTTAGCACTGACATATATTGCAAATCAGCATCATTATGTTGCATTGCTATCAAACTATCTCAGGTTTCTAATTGGTGTGCCTGAGCTTTATTCAGGCTTTTGATTGAGGCAGAGGGATTTTTCCAAATGCCTGCTGGTTTTCTTGAACCAGATCTTTTTCCATTAGGAGACATCTGAGTTAGTTCTGCTGCTGCTAGTTTGCACAGATGAAACACTTGAGAACAGATGGTTGTAATGGTTAGAGCTTGGGTACCTGTCAGTTGCAGTGTGACAACTTCAGGAAATGACTGATGCTTATTGTTTTTCTTTTAATGCAGAAAATGCCTGTGTTCTATTTGCTATCTCCCTCCTCATGTTCACAATCAGTGCAATGATGGTGTATGGTGCAATCGCTGTAAGTATATTTATAGTCCATGGTTTTAAACTTGCTACTTGAATTTTTAACTAAATACCTTACAGACTGCTGCTTTTTTATTTTTCTTAGCATCGTGTAGGCTGGCTGATCCCATTTTTCTGCTACCAACTCTTTGACTTTGTGCTCAGTTGTCTGGTTGCAATCAGTTCTTTAACCTACTTGCCCAGAATCAAGGATTACCTGGATCAGTTGGTAAGTGTTTGTTCAGCTCAATTATATCTTACATTTGAAATTAAACTGGTTTAATTGGATAAATGACTGAGCTATAGTTACCTTCCTGTGCATAAGGAGGAATTCAGACTGCAGTAGCCATAGGGGATAACTGCTAGGGTGGTTATGAGAGAGTTTATCAGATGTGGAAGGGCCAAAGGTGTCATGTTCCCTGAAAGAAAAGCCAGGAAGGGTAAATAAGGAATTATGATGAGAATTGTTGGTTTAAACTCTTTGCTGCATTTGCACTTGAAAGAAAGATGTTTGTAACTCTTTAAGCAATGTAGTTCTGTGGCAGGTTTGCTACTGCAGATTAAAAATGTGTTGACTCTTACTTGGTGGGGAAAGGAAAGAAGAGTATAGGTAAGGATAGATGCGATGCAGGGTCCTACAGCATTATGGGATGGAATCTGAGATTCTTAGGGTTCCTTTTCACGTTCTATATGGCTCTTCTCGTTTTGCAACAGTACCTTCTAAGAAAACTGTAATGGAGTTTTCATTAACACTACCTGTGTTTTATCTCCAAGAAGTCTCAATGGCTAGAATGCACTCATCAGTTAATGGGGATCACAAGCATTTCCTGACTGGGGTTTTGTTCTGTTCAAGTAGATATTTAAAAAAATCCTTCTTAAAACAGACATAAAAAAATGGATTGGTGTTGGAGAGATACTTTGTTACTGTGTTAGGGAAAGAGAAGAGTCTGTAATTTGCAGAAGTTCTTTGCTTTGCCTTTTCTCAAGTTTGGGGGCAGCTTTTCTCCTTTTTGCTCTGCACACATGTATGTTACTGGTTGGACTGACAGGAGGTAAAGGAATACTAAGTCATTAAAGAGTTGTAGAGGACCATAAGTAAAAATGTTGTGCTGCAGCTGTTAAAAGGGAAGTGTCATGGATATCTGTATTAGCATGAGATTAAGGAAGTGACTAGGGACATAGACAGTACAAGGCTTCTGTATAGATAGACTTTTTCTGTAGTGACCTGTTCTTGCAGGATAGTGGCAGGGTAAAAACTGTGCTTTGTGGGAGGATAAAGAAGCAGCTAGTGAGAAGTTGAACTTTTCATTGTTTATGGGGGAGTAGTTTACACAAGAGTTTGTTTCATTTGGTGTGAAGTTTGGGTGTCCTTCTACCGTATTTGTGACTGCAGTGTTCATGCTTATCTCCTCCCCTTCTCTCCCTTCCCCATTTTTTTTTTTTTTTTTAACTAGCCGGATTTCCCTTACAAAGATGATCTCCTTGCCTTGGACTCCAGCTGTCTTTTGTTTATTGTTCTGGTGTTCTTTGCTTTATTTATCATTTTAAAGGTAAGTTAAAACTTAAGCGTATGTCTGAGTTACTAAGATGCTATCAAGCTGAGTTAATTCTCAGTGCTGAATTAAGAACTCGGTTAACTTCCTTGAGCAGGATTGTTAGGATGTTCAATTATGATATGGCTTAAGTCTTACTTTGTGTACTGGTGTCTTCAACTAACTTGTTTGTATGTAGAGGGGCATGTTCATGCAGCTCTTCCCCTCCTGAGTACGAAGTAGGAATGCACAAAGACTTCAAATACCATCTTTTTGCATATGTGGAGATAATTAATATTTGTAATTCAGCTTGTAGCAGAACAATACTGAGTTACTGCATACGAGTTTTCTAAACAAAACTTGTAAAATTTCTCACTGTACCTTACCTAACAGGGTACATGTTTTGGAAGGAAAGATGATGCAAGGAGGAAATGCAAGGGTTAATTCAGAGCTGCATCTTTATTCCTACTGAAGGGTGATATTACCAGTTACTTTCTTTTTGAAGATCTAAATGCAGAGGCATTCATTTGATTTACAAAAACTGTTGTGCAGACAAAACATATTAGAGAAATAAGTTGATAACATACATTGGCCATGGCAATATTCCTTTATTGCATTCAGATTGAATTTAAGAAAAAAAAAATGAAGTAATGGAATAATTTTACTAGTTTTCTATACTTTCTCTAGGAGGAATGCCTGACTGGAGGGAGTGGAAGCTTAATATAGTAGATGATATTTTTGTATTGATTGGGGAATTTGGTACCTTGTGTATAACCATGTGCTAATTTGCCAGTGAAAAGAGATTACTGTTATACAGATTGAGGATTATATTTTTTTATAGTTAGAGCATTATAGTATGTTTTTCTGCAACAGTTAATGTTGACTTAAAGTCCAGGCTATTTTGCTCCACCATCTTCTTGCCACTCCAAGGTGTTTGTTCCCTCTGCTTCACACTGGTAGCTGGACATGTAGTAATGCTAACTCAGGGAGGAGTAGAATTGTGCTGTTGGCCTGACCTCCTTCTCCTGGCAAGTTTGGACTGAGATGCACAGAAGCATAAACCAGTTCAGGATTAATTTGATTAGCACTGCTGAGGCAGATAGAGAGATTAGCTGAATGGATCTGTAAATTCTTTTGTAAAACCTGTGGTTCATCCTCTCTGAATCACTATGATGGCAAAGCTAAATGGGAATGGAATAGGTATGTGGCTAAATCTGTGAAATAGCAACCAGTCCTCTGATACGTATTGACTCAGTTGATTTATGCTCCTTTATGTCATATGGTAATTCAGCATCTAATTTCTGAATTGGCTAATGCATATGAGGTCTTTAAAAAGAGAAATCTTTCTCCTTTCAGGCATATCTAATTAACTGTGTATGGAACTGCTATAAATATATCAGCAACAGAAATTTGCCAGAGATAGCTGTGTATCCTGCTTTTGAAGCTCCTCCACAGGTAAAACCTTTTTGAAATAAAAGGAACCAGCGTCTTTTAAGTTTGAAGTAGGAAATGACCACATCCATATATGTTTACAAACCTTGTCCAGCTTTCTAAGCAAAGACTGTAAAGGTTAAAAAAGTTAAAGCAGCTAATGCTATGGCGGGTTATTTCCTAGTTGCATTCTTATAGTGCATAAAATAGGAAGTTTTATAGAGAAAGTCTTTGTATGTTTTTGTTATAGTAGAGTGAAGCTTTCTGATTACGCCAGTTTAAAACCTTCCTTGCTGCTTTGTAAAACCAAGAGACAGTGGGGTGGAATGAATGACCTAGGGTTAGGTTCAGCAGAGCAGTAAACTACTGTTGCACCTCCTTTCACTTCCTCAGTAGCTTACTAGAAACAGCAGTAAGTTCTTAAAAACATTTGCCTGTGACAGAGGATTAAGTTGCTGATGAGGCATGTATGTTTTTGTTGTTTTTTTTCCTAAAACTTCTTCATTAATATCTTCAAAATGTCTTCTCTTTAGTATGTTCTGCCAACCTATGAAATGGCAGTGAAGATGCCTGAGAAGGAACCTCCACCTCCCTACATACCTGCCTGAAGCAATTTTTATGTTAATTAACATCTGTACCAGCTTCCTGGGGGTTTTGTCTTTTAATCTTGCAAAACTGCTTAAGTAATAGAAATATTCAGGGCTTTAGGAGCAAACTGTTATGTTTAAAATATGTTTGAGAGAAACTTACTAAGCAAAACACATCTGGGAGTGATTTTGTTTGCTTTAATTTTTGTTCTCCTTAACGCTCTTAAACATTTTATTGCCTTAGGGCCTTACACTGCAAGAACTTATGCATGTGACTAACTTGTGGCTTTTAATAATACCAACTGAGCCAATCTGTGATTGAAGTTAGCTACAATTATAAGTGTCTGCAGGATTGTGCCCTTAATTTATATTAATTTTTTTTGTAAAGTAGTTCATAAAGACAATCTGGTCTTGCAGCAAAATGACAGTTTGCCTTTATCCATTTTTTGGAGGGGGAGGGGGTTTGAATGTGGTATATACATGACTTTTTTTACTTTGCACTTTTCTCATATGTTATCTTACCTTTATTGTGTTGGGTTTTTTTGTTATCCTATGTCTTGAAACATAGTATTTTTCAGGAAGAAGTGAGGGTGGCACAGGAGCTCTCTTACAATGTGCTGCAAATGCAAGAAAAATAGAAATGTGTAAGATGGTTGCATGCTTCTAATCGTATATGTATTTTCCTCTTTGTGATAAATGATACTTAAATAAATCTTTTACAAAATGTTTACCAGTGGCCTTGGTTGATCTGTTGGGGTTAAGTGCTTCAGTGTACTATGGCTAGTCCTACATACATGCACCTCAGTGAACACTGGCTTCCTACAGTTGTTCAGTGGTTGGTCTGTGTTCTTCAGCCATCTTCCTGTGGGTGGAGAACATGGGTTTCCTCTAGTGTATAAGCTTATATTGCAGCTTTTGCAGTTCATGTGCTAGGTTGTCTTCTACTTGTCTAATTGCTACTTATATATAAGCTGGGGAAAGAGAATTGTACTGGAGGCTTTTAGCCCTCGAGGCAAATTTGATGTCTGATGAGCTCGGGTGTTGAGAGCAGGACAGACACCCAGTAGGACTATATTATTCACACTGGAAAATGTCCAAAGTTGTTGGACGTATGTTCTAACTCCAGAAATGTTCATCCAAAAAAAAAAAAAAAAAAAAAACCCAAACCAAACCAAAAAAAAAAAAAAACCAAAACCAAAACCCACAAAACAACAAAACCAAACCAATGAAAACAACTATGAAAAACACATATTTACTGTTCCTCCTCTGTACTAAGGGGTAAAAGATAGTTTAATGATCTGTTAATATATCTGAAAAAAAATGGCTTTCTACTTTGGAAGATAAAAGGGATCTGGGACTAAACTCTGGCAAAAAGGTTTCAAATTGCTACAGCATATAGAAGTTGCTGGTTATTCTAGCCTGTTCAAGTATGTACATCCTTCCTGTCCCCCTGACCTATTTAAAAATGCCCCCTGGGATTACTGCGCTATCAGTAATAGTTTTGTTACTTTTCCTTTACCTGAGGTGCCATCACAGCTGAAGCTACTGGGGTGGTGTGTGATACTCAAAACACCGATCCCAGAGCACGTACTGTGGCCTGGATCCACCGGCACCCCCGGAGAACCCCGCTCCTTCGTCAGCAGTCTGACCACGAGTGGGCACCCGAAGGAGCGTGAAAGTGTTGGTTGTGGGCAGGGAGCTCCAGCCGAGGGATGGGTGTCGAGACCTCCCCAAGGGTGGGGGGGTTATCGTAGGGATGAGCAGGCACGGCTTGAAACCTGTGGGGTGTGTGTCCGTGTGCTCTTGCTCAAACAGAGCTGCAGCCCCTTTGAGGAGATGGAAGCTGTTGTGTTTCACCCAGCCCGGACCTGTGGGTCTCCTCTGCGCGGTGTGGTGTTCCCTCCTCCCTGCTCTCAGTTGCAGGGTGGCCTCTTCCACTGCGCAGCCAAGACCAGCGCTTGCTGGAGTGAGTCAATGCCTGGTGGGGTGTGAGGGTGTGGTGGTTCCTGTTCTGAACTGGGGATTCCTGTTCCCCTGACAGAGGTGAAGTGAGGAAAGATGGTCCCACAGTCCAACACCTCGACGGTGGGTTTGGCAAAGGTGTCTTCTTAAAAGACTGGTGGAGATCAGAGTGGATTTGTGCCCTAACCCGTGCTTCCCGTTAAAGCTTGCTGCAGCACCCCCTGGGAGCTGGCAGGGTTTGCAGTGCTAGGCACCAGACAACGTGCCCTGTGTTAGGTTTGACAGCGGGGAAGGCAGGTTTCTTCTGCCTTGGTGATCGCACAGATTTTTTTTCTCCCATTCTTTGCAAATACTGCCTTGGAGATAAACCCTGGAGACTAGAAAGGCGAAGTTGGCAGACTTGGATCAAGTAATTCCGGGGGGGGGGGGGGGGAGAAAGTGTGACTTTGTGTTTTTCAACCCCCCCTGCTCCCAGGTCTGAGCCCTGCCCTTGCCGCGCCGCGAGCTTCCCCCAGCCTCGCCCTCACGCTGACGGCCCTTCCCTCTGTCCCGCTGGGGCGGGGGAGCGAGGCCCGGCAGCGCGCCCGCCCTCCCGGCGGGGGGGGGGGGGGGGGGGGGGGGGGGGGCGATGCCACCGCGGTTGTTGCCCCCGGCGCGGGCGGCAGCTTTAAAGGCGGCGCGGCGGGCGGCGGGGCAGGCGGCGGCACGATGCGGCGGGCGCTCGGCACCTTCGGCTGCCGCCCGGCTCTGCCGCCGCCGCTGCTGCCGCTGCTGCTGCTGCTGCTGCCGCCGCCGCTGCCCGCGGCCCGGGGCTCCCCGCTCCGCCTGCGCCGGCAGCCGCGGCCCGGCGGCGGCTTCCCCGGGAGCCTCGGAGCTGCAGGTACCGGGCCCGGAGCTGCCTCCTCCGCGGGGCTGCGCGCCCCCGGCCACACCGCCCCGGAGGCGCTGCACCCCCCCGGAGGCGATGCCCCCCCCCCGGAGGCGATGCCCCCCCCACGGAGGCGATGCCCCCCCCACGGAGGCGATGCACCCCCCGGGAGGCGATGCCCCCCCCCCCCCCGGAGGCGCTGCCCCCCCCCCCCCCCCCGGAGGCGATGCCCCCTCCCCGGAGGTGATGCACCCCCCGGGAGGCGATGCCCCCCCCCCGGAGGTGATGCCCCCCCCCCGGAGGCGATGCCCCCTCCCCGGAGGTGATGCACCCCCCGGGAGGCGATGCCCCCCCCCCCGGAGGTGATGCCCCCCCCCGGAGGCGATGCCCCCCCCCCGGGAGGCGATGCACCCCCCCGGAGGCGATGCCCCCCCCCCGGAGGGGATGCCCCCCCCCCCGGAGGCGATGCCCTCTCCCCGGAGGGGATGCACCCCCCGGGAGGCGATGCCCCCCCCCCCCGGAGGTGATGCACCCCCCGGGAGGCGATGCCCCCTCCCCGGAGGGGATGCCCCCCCGGGAGGCGATGCCCCCTCCCCGGAGGGGATGCCCCCCTCACCCGGGAGGCGATGCCTCCTTAACGCTTCGCTTGCTGCCACCCGGCTGCCGCCCGCCGTTGATTCTCCCGGGGTGCTGACCTACACTCTGCGTTTTACGAACGGTTACAGGGGAGTTACGCCCCGAGGGACGTCTCGCTGTAGTTGCAGGGGGTCCACAGGCCGTTCGCTTGTAGGCAGAAGTACCAACTACTTTTTTTTTAATGCAAAGCCGGCCTTGCTAATCTCTATAACCTACCTAACGCTTCCCTGTGATCACTTCTCGAAACATGTCAGTTTCTGACTCACAGAAGGATCAGACTGCTGAAAAGTGTTTTTTCTCCTAAGCTAAAAAAGATAATTCTTCTGCCTACAATTTTTTTTTTTTTTTTGTAGGACTTTTTTCTTTCATGTCTTAAGCTATGCATGCATTCGCGAACATAAAGAACATGATTTCTTCATATTTTCTCAGCTTCTCAAAGGGCACAAAGCCTTTTTTTCTAAATCGTTCTGCAAAAACTGAGTTATGGGATGCATGTACAGTTATTATATATAATATACCTGGACAGGTTCCTAGATTCATCCAGTCTCTTACTCTGTCCAAAGGCAAAATCAACTCCGCTGCTGTGTTTCCTGACAGATTAATTTGTGCAATATGATTTTTTCCCTCCCTTTTCACTTGTGCAAGAGAAAAACAATTTTTAATGAGTGTAAAAAAAAAAAAAGTGCTGTTTTCACCTTTACTTTTCAGAGAATGGTGAAGAATTTTTATGTTTTTTAACTGGAATGAAATAATAGAAGTCAACTTGGTAGCAGTTCAGAAAGGTGTGTCAGGTTCCCAGAACAGCTCTTCAGGGAGTATATTCAACTGAACATCTCAAATTTTGCTATTTAGTGCACCGTTGAGCAGGAATGTGTCTTTTGTAGAAATACTGTGTTTTCATAAACCAGCAGTACAAATCCATACCTTGATGTTATCATCAGTGTGAGGTCAGGATATCCAGACAGGGAGTATATAGCTTCTGTTGTCTGCTTTTGCTGTCTTCATTTTTCATTTTCCTAGAAGTGGTGCTTGTCTCTGATCTGAGCTATGGCTTTTCTGTTTCAGTCTAGATTTATATGCCAGTGAGGAATTTTAGAAGCTATAAAAATTTGTGTAGATGCTCACTTTTACATGTAAAATTATTTAATAAATAATAAGTTATTTCTCTGCTCAGGAAGCCTTTAAATAGTAACAACTTCTAAAGAAGCTTTTATCACAGCATTATTTGCATCTTTTTCCTGTTGGCCTTTATTTATTCTTGTTGTGTACTTTAGATTGTGAATTGCAAGCAAGAAATAATTCCTAATCAGCAATCTATATTGTTAGTATCCTGAGAAATATTGTTAGGGTCTGTTCACTATGTAATCTAGCCAGTGGCTTTACCATTTTATTTCTGTAGCTTATAAAAATGGAAGTTAGGCTTTATCTTTATAAAAATAAAAAGTAAGTACATTTACATAGCCTTGCTACACTTCTGTATTGGCTGTTACCTGCAAACTACAACCCTTGGTTTCAAGGATAGTTAAGACATTTTGTGGGCTCAAATGTGGACCTATCTTAATGCTTAGAAGTGTTCAGTTATTTATTACTTGTCGAAATTAGTATTTAAGAATTTCTAATGTGTTGCACACTATCATTTTAAGCCTCTTGCTAAAGAATCAAGAGTGCCAACATTTATTTGGTGGGAGTAGTTTGCCATGATGGCTCTCAATGCCCTAGGGTGAGAGCTCTGGCTGGCCCTGTGTAGGAGATAACTGAAGTGTTTTCCTTCCTTCTTGACAGACACTGCCTGCAAGAACCGTCCCCTAGACCTTGTCTTCATCATAGATAGTTCCCGTAGTGTCCGACCTGAAGAGTTTGAGAAAGTGAAAATCTTTTTGTCAAAAATGATTGATACTCTGGACGTTGGTGAAAGAACAACCCGTGTGGCGGTCATGAATTATGCTAGCACTGTCAAGGTTGAGTTTCCTCTCCGGACCTACTTTGATAAGGCATCCATGAAGGAGGCTATATCTCACATTGAGCCCTTGTCTGCTGGCACAATGACTGGCCTTGCCATCCAAACTGCCATGGATGAAGTCTTCACTGAGGAAATGGGCACCCGGCCAGCAACGTTCAATATCCCCAAGGTGGTCATTGTTGTGACAGATGGACGGCCACAAGACCAGGTTCAAGATGTGGCAGCAAGCGCCCGAACGGCTGGCATTGAGATCTATGCAGTTGGGGTAGACCGGGCAGACATGCAGTCCCTGAGGATAATGGCC